TGCTCAAACACTGCTGAGTCTCCTCGTATCTCATTGAGAGTACAGGGGAGCACAAAAGCTTACCGTTTTATGAAAAGAAGCTTTGAATGACAGGAATATAATGTTGAGAAGCAGCTTTGGGATATATACTAGTGCTGTGTTCTGATCCACCTATAACCGGACTGGAAACCAATCACAGAAATTCTCCATGGAACGTTATGGTGCTTAAATAAGTACCCTGAGGTGCATAGCTGAATCCTGACCTCCTTTTGTACCAAGGCCCCATCCCCTCTTCTTTCTTTTCCAAGACATGTCCTTTTAAAAATAACATAATGAGGATAACTTTTCACATAATATTGTTCTGAAGAGACTCATCTTTTTCATACTACTGTGTAGTTGCCATAACAACTTCATGCAACATCTTATTTAATAATAATTTCTCTGCATCCTTTTTAGCATTTCAGTTGTCATGACAACAACATGCATTTTATTTCATACCTATTTCCCAGTCCTCTTAGATGTGTTTTTGTTGCTTTGAATGACATCAGACTCAGTTTCCATTAAAAAGATCGGAATGAAATCTGACGCAGTGTCTAGCAAAGAAAACATCTTTTTCGAAAAATGTTCTAAAGTTGTTGTATAACACATAACTATGTCTTTCCTGATGCATGTACAATCACTTTTAACAAAAAGCTCAATGCAAATGCTGATTTTGAGAGGTGAATGGACAGAATGTAGCTATATAAATGTCCAAAAGAGAGAAGAGACTAGTTTAAACTAAGGTAGGTATGCTTTGAATGTGTAGCTTATGGTGGAAAACTGGCTTCACCTCTCCTGCCCTGCAGGAAGGCTTGATATCCTCTCTTGCCCTACGGGTAGGCCAGATGTTTATGTTAGATCAGAGTATCACCAAAGCAGAGTAATGGCATTTTTCACTCCTATAGAACAATAGCCGAGAAGAACTCTCTTCTGAGCCTCAGCAGAAAAAAGAACACTGTGGCAATCTGATATCAGTTTATACACCATGGTGGGGATTTGCACTTCTTTACTTTACGTTATGATATGGTTGCCATCAAATAGTGAACTAATGTGCAAAGAGCTATCCAGTCAATGACAGCTTTGCTGTTGTATTTCAGAGGAATTTATGATTTAAAAACTGGTATTTTGTGATTTGTATTATCCTCTACGGTATCACATTGTCAGCTCACATCACTAGATTACAATAGCCCCAGATCATTCAGGTCACCATTGGAAATAATCGTTCATCGAGATGTCAAGCCGGAGACTGAACAAGTCTATGTGTCTCTTCTTACACAGATACCAAAACAAACTTTGTTAGCTGGAACCTACTGATTACCTTCTGAAAGGAGCGTCACTACTTCACTCAAGTGAAGGCACTACTTCACTACATCACTCGAGTACAGGCTGTAGAGATCTTCTTACAGTGCTCAAATTTGTGCAGCTGTCTGAACTGTAAAGTATTAACTAGCTGCGAAAACTTAAGATCATCCCAAAAAGATTTCCAACCACTTCCTATTATACATAAGAACATGCCTGATGCCTTTGCAGTCTTACAGATGTTTTCCCAACCAAGGGAAATGTTTTAGCTTTCCTTGAATATTTCAAGCTTCTTTTCCCACAATATGAAATTTGGAGCCATTCAAAGTGCAGCATATGGTTTCTAGGGTACAGTAGCTGCAATGGTAGGGGATGGTAAAGCACATATACGTGGTTAGGAAGACAGCGATTATGAACTGCAAGATACCTTAATCTTCATTTCATTGCTTTGGTG